GACAGCCGCTCATGTGTGGTTTCACTTTGGGTACAGCGACGGAGAAATTATGAGCCGTGTGTCATCTGAAGGTTTTAGATCCAGTCACCAGGGGTGTGGACTCGAGTCACTTGACTCGAGACTTGACTCGGACGCGAGTCCCAAATTTGATGACTTGCGACTCGACTCGAAATAATTAAAGACTTGAGACTCGACTTAGACTTTGAGAGCAAGTACTCGAGACTTAACTTGGACTTGAGCCCTGTGACTTTATGATCAGATCAAAGTCGTTATAGAGGCGTCCCTGCAGCGTTGCGCTTGACTGGCAATAAGCCAGAGACTACGTTCAGGGCTATAACCGAACTCACATTTTCAGGACTCACAACCGCATCTCGGAAAACATGCGCTGTATGAACTGGACAACTAGTTGTGGTACAGTGCGAGAGAGCCGCTCATGTGTGGTTTCACTTTGGGTACAGCGACGGAGAAATTATGAGCCGTGTGTCATCTGAAGGTTTTAGATCCAGTCACCAGGGGTGTGGACTCGAGTCACTTGACTCGAGACTTGACTCGGACGCGAGTCCCAAATTTGATGACTTGCGACTCGACTCGAAATAATTAAAGACTTGAGACTCGACTTAGACTTTGAGAGCAAGTACTCGAGACTTAACTTGGACTTGAGCCCTGTGACTTTATGATCAGATCAAAGTCGTTATAGAGGCGTCCCTGCAGCGTTGCGCTTGACTGGCAATAAGCCAGAGACTACGTTCAGGGAGCGCTGGATAAACTAGTATAAATTACTGGAGTAATAGCATCATTTACGACAAAAGAGAACAGAGATAATAAAAATAACAAATTACATGATTCGTCTCACCTGCCACCAAGCCACCTGCAGTGACCTCACTTTGATGGAAGGATTCAGGGTTGGGCTGGATATGGGGATCCAATTTGTAATGCCACGAGGAGATCCCAGCTGGTCATTCGCACAATACCTGAACTTAACATTATGGATTTCAGGATCCACATATGAAGTTGGAGGCTGCACCAGCTCCTGAGTCCAACCCCAAATACCCCTGTATCCTCCAAAGCTCCACCCTCGTTCTTAGCCCAGGAACGCAGGCAGTTCTAGAGTCAAGTCAGCCGGCAGATAATATGGCAAGCCCGCCAAGGGTTCATGTGGCAAGCCCGCCGGACATTAGTGTGTTAAGCCCAGGAAGGGCTCCTGATCCCCAGTTCAGCCCAGGAAGGGCTCCTGATCCCCAGTTCAGCCCAGGAAGTGTCGGCTCCAGCCCCAGAGCTCGCTCCAGCGTGTCAATCGGCGATAATGGACATGGCACTGCGCCCGGGGTTCTCAGCACCCATGCTCACCCCAGAAGCCGCTCTAACACGCTTCTCTGAGCCTCCTTCGTCTCCTTCGCCTCTGCTGGTCCCGTCCAGTTCTCCTTCGCCTCCGCTGATCCCGTCTCGCCCTCAAGTGCCCGCTCCTCCTGAGCGCCCACCAGAGCCCGCTCCTCCTGAGCGCCCACCAGAGCCCGCTCCTCCTGAGCGCCCACCAGAGCCCGCTCCTCCTGAGCGCCCACCAGAGCCCGCTCCTCCTGAGCGCCCACCA